GCTGCTCCCTTCATGCAGTTTTGCATTTACTGTGGGGGCCAAACTGCTTCCTGCCTGTTTTTTCTTAAGTTTTAAGGCCAACTTCTAAATTCTACCCCCATGTTCAAGCTTCACAGTTCTATTATTTCTCCCCTCTTTATAAAAACGCAAGGCTTCCTATTTTGCCATGGCTTTTTTTAGCCATCTTCCAGGATGGCTAAAACTTTGTGGATACGAGGGCCTCATCTCTGCTTACCACTGCTCTCTATTCCTCCACTGATTACACAACTTCTCAAAAGAATTTGTTCACTCTTGGACACATCATGTCTCTTTTGCGTCCCCTCCAGTGACTCCCTCTTAGCCACCACACAGCATGGGACATCTTGTCCTTGTCGTCAGCACATAACTCTGATTCCCACCTCATCTTGCTATACTGGCTGGTGGCCTACTCCACCATATCAAGACTGTCCCACTAATTGCTTCCTGCCAGTCTGCTCCTCATCCCTCCAGCCTCTGCCTGGGACACCCACCCAGCCTTCCCTCTGTGCTCCATTCCTCTTCCCATCAACTCTCACCTGAGCGTTTTCTTCTCCAAAGAGTCGGTAGCAATGCACACTGACAGGCGGCCAGTACGCACGTTAAGCATACACGATGCTGTAGACTTGTTGCTGCCTTAACCTACCAGTCCCCCCACGCCTGGAGTCCCTTTGCCTATAAAGCACACTGTGATTTGAGAGCTACATAATTATCGCTGCGATTAAGCATCCTATTCGGAGACTGCATTGCTGATTCCTCATTGTTTTCTCTAGAGAGACCTTTCACTCAGGGTTTGGCTCATGTGCAAAGGGGCTCTACAGCTGTCCTCTTTTTTCCTCCCTTCCTTGCAGGAGAAACCAAAGTAAACGTAGGTGATGCTGGCTTGGGTTTTGTTTTTAAGCTCTTCCTTGTAGCAGTCCTGTGGAGTACTATTTTCCTCATTTTACAGATGGGGAACTGAGGCACAGCAGATGTCTTGCCCAAAGCCCCACAGGGTAGCTCAGCTGAATCCTGAATTGCAACCAGTTCTGCGTCCTTGCCTACATTGGAGTTGAAAGATTAAGCAAGAGACCTGGGTCAGCACTATGTCTTACAAGAAACTGCCTCAAACTGTTGCCCTTTGAATGGGAGCAGCCAGGGAAAATGGCTAAAGGCCTTTCTGTGCATGCTCAGTCAGCAAATACCTTGCTGCAAGAAATAAGCCCGCAAACACAGTTGTTCCTTTCTGCTCTCTTCAGAGGCCTCTCCTACCTATTTACTCCTGCATGGAAACAACAGCTGAAAAGCTGAGTGGGAGGCCAGAAGCACTTGACTCAGTTGTGGGAATTCTCCAATTCATCAGCTAGGTTTTCTCCCTGAGGCAGTGTAATAGACAGAAAGGAAGCCTCTGAAACCATTTCTTCATCCTCTTGATTGCAGTCTGTCACTGCTGCTGCAGGAGTGACACACCTTCCACCGCCTGCAGCTCTCTGGGTTGCTGGAGGGAGAACGGAGAAGGCAAACACTTCTTCCTCTCCACCCTGAAATCGCTTGTTTCAGGCTTTTTAGCTCTGCCAGTACTTGGACGTGACTAATGCACCCATTCCTGTGCTGCGTTGGCAGCCCTTGCAAATGAAATTTCAGACTCCGGACAAGCAGAGCGCGGGTTGCTGCGCACGTAACAGTCTTCCCACAAACTCCTGGATCCTGGCTGCAGACAAGATAGTGCAGAAGATGCAATCTCCACCAAGCCTTTGCGAGTCTTGCTATGGTGCCAGTCAGCCCAGGGAAGGAGTGTACTGTTTAATAACAACCATGGCACAGACACCTATTTATTTATTCTTCCACTTCAAGACAGCAAAGCCCCATCACCTCAGGCTAACCTGCAGCTGGAACACTGAGAAATGGAAAAACACTCTCCTGTATCCTCCATCATGTTAGCCATCCTATTTTCTTTGCAAAACTCATTTTGAACCAGTTGCTGCTTTTCAGGAAGGAAAAAACCCCCGAACAAAGCAAACCCCCAAAAGGTAGTATGGTTGATCAGAAACATTTTGGTAAACCATGTTTTGTTTCGGGGATACCACCCCTCAAAAAAAGGCTTCTACTATAAAACTGTCAACCACAAAATTATACTTTAATATCTGCCCCTGGCTTTACTCCTGGTTTGCATGCAGATGCTGACTGTTCTGGGGAGAAATAAAGTATAGATGAGGGGGAAGGCATCAGAATTTTATTCCTGAAGAGCTGAGTTAAACCCAAAAATTTATACAAGAGCTTGTAGCAGTTTGTCACAAGGGAAAGTCTGCTGGGAAATTTATCAAAGAATATATCATGAGGTGGGCTATTTAGGGACTGAAATTACACAGGAAGGACTGGCAAGAAAGATATATGCTCAGGACAGGTGCAGTTACAATTAATGCTAAATATAAGGTGTCATATCTTTACCTAACGCTCAACCTGCACTGCCTTGCAAAGGAAAGCGAAGCAATTAGGCCCAAATAACCAGAATATACGTGGGAGGTGTTTGAAGGCAGAAGATTTAAAGCACTGTAATGGGGTTGGGGGAGGGTTACAGTAAGAGGTAACATTTCCTGATAGGTTAGTTTACATCCTTTGGAAAACATTATGGAACCAGACCAGAAAAGTAAGCAAGACCTTAACCAGAACTTTGCTTGATATCCAAGCAAAGGTGAAAAGCAAAGAGACCCAACCCTGCCTACATAGACGCAGCCCCTCCAAGCGAGTGATCCCTAGGAACAAAATAAGTCAAAGGATGGCTAACGTAGTTCTGCGTGGATCTGCAGCTGCCTCAGCCCAGTTCAAAAGCAGGCTCTCCCTTTCTTCTTTCTCTTGAGCAGGTAGCACCTGAGCTACAACAATAATGACCCTCTCCTAGAATGGAAAATCGAATTCACTCCTCAGTCCCAGCCGCAGTATTTCCCCCACCCTGCCTGCCACTTTTCTTCTTCAGGCCCAAAGGGCTGAGTTACCCCTGTGACAGAGAGAACAGTATTTTTGCACAACTCTTTTCTACCAGTCTTTGAGGTGAGGCTGTCAGCTGGGTGGTCGGGGTGTATCAAAAGAGAACGAACTATCAGGCCTTATAAAAAACTCCATATAGGAAATGCCCTTGGTTGGAATGTATTGCTGTGTGAATGCGGAGGGAGGAGAGGAAACATGCAGGCATTGGGAAACGGTCTCCCTCAGCTCTTGCACAGCTCCTTGCCCCTATTTATTGTATCAACATACAGACACCACTTTGTCTTTTAGAGTGAGGGATGGGGCCTAAACGTTTCATCACAACAAACTGAAAAATGCTTTTGCTTGGATGTGGGAAATGTTTGCCATCTTTTAAATATAAAACTAAACATATATTTGTGAACTTACTGTTGCTTTCATGTGGGAGCCTTCGCTGAACACAAACGATTACATTGTGCAGCTGCAAATGAATAGAGCATCTAGGATTAAAGAGATTTTTATTTAGCCACATATGAAATAGCAGAGCTGATAGCAGCCTCTGGTACAAAAAAGCCCCAGTGACCTAACAAGTAGCACCGTGAGCACCGGAACTAACAAATCTGCATCTCCTGTGTATTTGTATACGGTGGTTGATTGACTAGGGTGTCTAAGATGGCACAAACTTCATTTGAAGCTTTTCAGACAGATCAGGCACTTATTAGTGCTTTCGCTTTTATGGAGTATCTGCAACATAACAAGGCATGAACCCGCGCTGTAACTTTCCCTGTTGGGGACTGCGATAGGGTCCCTTTTTTGCTCTCAGATCGTTTGTGTTCACAAAATCTGTAGGGATGCCATTATGCTTCTGCCAAACTTGTTCAAAATTGGCCAGTGGGCTCAACAGTTATTAGAAATGGACAGACAGGCAGGCAGATGCAGGCACCATGACCACGTAAGCCTCATTTGCATCAGAAATCGGGCTAAAAGGACCTATATTGAAATTAATTTTTTAAGGCGAATTGATGGAGGAGCAGACCTCTGCAAAGTACAATTTTCAAATTTTAAGTTAATTTCATGCTAGGAAAAGCTACTGCTGACAGGCTGGAATACTAAAATTCTCCTTTTTACCTAAAGGAGAGGAACAGCACAGGACGAGCTCTGATGCCCCACCTCACCCTTGGATTTCTAAGCTAACTCATACCGAGAGCAGGTGATTGCTTATAAAGAGGAGGCAAAGAACACCTCCAGCAGCTCTGTCCCTACAATTTTTTCATGCATATGAGCACTTAGGGCTAATCACATATGTAAAGCGCTGCAAATGCCTTGTATTTCACCGCTGCCTTGCCTTTATCCCCATTTCCTTGATTATCCCTGCCAGCTTTGTTCCTGGGCTGCAAGGGCGAAGCCTGCTTTTCATCCTTTGTGTGCGCACTGCAAACCGCAGCGGGGCCTGGATCTATATGAGGGCCCCTAGCAACTATCACATAGCACGCAGAAATCGTAATTTAACATTACAGCCCCTAGTCTCTCAGCTGGGATGCGCGCATCCAGCCGGGGGTATTTATTCACGCTCCCAGCCAGAGCTAGGACCATGGCTGGTTTGTTCCCAGCTCTGACACCAGCCCGCTGAGCGGCCTCGGGCAAACCGCTCTGTCATCTCCCCATCTGCACACGGGATGCCCACCTCCCGCCTTTCTGGAGCCGCTGAGCTGCTGCTGCTCTCTAAGTGGGTTTGAAGAGGGCTGGCCAGCGGCCCGCTGCAGCCGACCAGCCATGGCTTGCAGCCACCGTGTGGCTCTGGCCCCATCCCGGTCCTACTCGCGGCCCTCCTCCTTTCCCCCATGAGCACCCCCCCCGGCTGGCTGCCACGTCTGAGAAAGGGGGGAGAACCTCTCTTAAATACTCTTTCGTATTTGCACCCTCTGGCCAAGGACCCCGGTGCGGGCCGGGCCGTGGGACCGCCACCCCTGTCCCACCCAGCTTCGGGGCAGTCTCCGGAAAGGGGTAGGGCCGAGGGGACAGTGTGGAGCGTGCGGGGCCGGCGCAGGGCGGCGAGGCCGCCCCACCCGTCGGGGCGGGCTCGGGCAGGCCAGGTGAGGCGGTACCGGCGCTGCCTTTCCCTCCTCGTGTAGCGTCCCGTCCCGTCCCGTCCCGTCCGGCCGGCGCTGCGGGAGCCGGCGGCATGGCGGAGTCCCAGGTGCTGCTGCTGGACGAGCTGCACGTCAATGAGAAGGTGACGGAGGCCCAGGCCCGCTTTTACTACAGCGAGGAGCAGCGCCGGGCCCTGGAGGCACTGGTGACCCGGGGCGAGGCGGCCTACCGGGAAGCGCTGAGGAAGGAGCAGCTCCGCGACTTTCTTTCCAGCCGGGAGCTGCAGGCCCTGCGGAGCGGATGGCGGGGGTACGACGACCCCGCGGAGAGTGGCAAGGTGGCGAGGGGGCCCGGCGGAGAGACCCTCTCGCTGGCCTACTGGCCCGAGTGCTCGGACACAGAGGTGCCCCCGTTGGACTTGGGCTGGACTGACAAGACCTTCTACCGGGGCATCAGCAGGGTGGCCCTCTTCACGCACCCCCGCAAGGAGGAGGGTGCGCCCCACCTGAAGGAGGTTGTGCGGGAGATGATCCAGCAGGCACAGAAGGTAGGGCCCGGCAACCACATGAGGCTGCTGGCCTCGACGAGGCAGCCCTGCCCGCCTTCATGCCTGGGCCGTGGCTGCCTGCATGGAGGGCTTGGGCTGAGGATGCGTGGGGTGGAAGGGAGGCAATAGCTAGCCCACCGTGGCCAGGCTTTCCTCTTTGGCCCCTTCCGCACGCACTCCAGTTGGTTGGTGTCCACCGGGCAGGGCTCTCCCTGCAGTTTGTTGCCAGTCACTTGTTGCCAAAGCTGATGCCCAGGATGGGGTTAAACCCTTACACATCCCCCAACCCCCGACTGGTTGGTGGTTTGCTTTGTTCTGCTCCAGTCTGATCCTCTGACTCAGGGGAAGGCAGGTTATGATGCTGTCATAGCCAGCCTTCTTGTAGAATCATAAAATCAGCTATGTTGGAAAAGACCTTTTAAGATCATCAAGTCCAACCTGTATGTGCAGGTATCCCTAGTTAAACACAGGGCAGCGAGTGTGGTTATGGAGTGGTGGTATATTAGGTTTATTTTTTGTGGTCTCAACACCATCCAGCCTGGACTGTGAGCAGCCAGACAATATGTGGCTGTGCCTGCTATTTATCTTTGGTTGGAAAGGACTGTTAGTGGTGACAGAACACCCATGGCAAGGAAACAAACTAGCCACAATGCTACAACAGTTTGTGCTGCATAGGAGGGGGCAATGAGGAGGTTTTTCTAGGTGTAGGTGAAATTTCCAGGGAAGACCACCCAAGAACAGACCCCCTTCAGGGCTGACATCCCCCCTGGGAAAGGGGGCTAACAGCCCAGCAGGCTCATTCCTGCTTTTGTTTTTTTTTCCTTTCTGGTTTTTCTTCTGCTAATGCAGCAGTGATTTCCTCCTCCACCTGCTTCATCCCCCCTTTCTTTGTCCCCGCCAGCACACGCTATACACACAACTTTCGCAGACTTGTTAAGACCAAATCTGCTGGGAAACACTGAAAACTTCCAGAGAGGCATTAATTAATCCAGCAGGTGAGCTTCACGGCCCCCTGCTCACAAAAGTACGTGCACACCCCAAAATCCTGTTCAGTGACTGATGTGATCAGTCGTATACAAGAGCCAGAAGCTGTACAATCCTCATGCTCCTATTTAGTGCAACGTCACATCATCTTTGCACTGCTCTAAATGCCTCTACAGACTGTAGAGGCATTTGGGAAAGCCCTGGGAAGCTGCTGTTTCATAGCTGTGCCTGGCACCTGGAAATAATTAATTCCTTTGTAGGTTTTCATGTTTTTCTCTGACTGGACAAACTGTGCCCCTCCCAGCCCAAAGGTGGTTTCATGTTTAATAGCCATTTGAGTGTTTAATGGTCCTTTTCATGATAACTATGCCTATTGTATTCAGCTGAGCTGGCCCTGGAAACTAAAAGTCTCCAGGTAGCAGCTTTTAGTTCAGCAGAGGAGAGGGGGGTTTTGTTGGTTTTGTTTTTTTTGAGGGGGGTCTAAACAGATACTAGTAATGTGGCACATGTCTGTGGGTGGCTTATCATCAGTGTTTTACAAACATATGTTAATTAAGCTGCCTTGCTGCAGTGAGATTGGCAAGTTAATGCTTGCCAATCTTCACATATCTATGAAGAGCTAGGCACACCTATGGGCCTAATAGATAAGTTTATTATCCATGGGATAGATAGAGGAATGGGGAAAACCTCTTGCAGGGGCAGACACTCATGCTCTGACTTGCTCTACTTGGGAACGCTCCTAGGTAATCTTGTGGCAAGGGTATGAGAAGACTTAACAACAGGGGTTGCCCACTGTACATTTTGCTGGCTTGAAAGTGTCATCTGCAAGGCAGCTCATCTGCTTTTTGAACAGGACTGCAGTTTGCATGGGTTTAATTCACAGTCTTGCAAAGAAGCCTAAACTGATCCAGGGCCCCAAAGCCTGGGAGGGAACCATCCATTCATATTGTAAGGCAGTACCAGCAATTAACGGTTTGTCCAGGACATGTTGTAATTTCTGCAGTCATTGAACTCATTGCAAATGGAAGGGATGGAAAGAAAGCAACACTTCTGCTACCAATTCTTGATCAATTCTCTATGTGGATGTTCTTGTTTCAAATGAATATTCTTGTTCCTAAATTACTACATCAATACCACAATGTGTGGAGGGGAGCAGGAGCGTAACAGGCCTGAATTACTGCATAAACTGTTCATGCCTTTAATTATAATCTGCCTGTATATGAAGTTATGCAGGAATAAAGTGGCAAAAGTTCACTGTATTTTAATTTTTAGAGGTTCTGGTAACATTCCTTGCATCTTGCTGCTTTGTGCTGGGAAGTGGGAACCAAGGCAGGACCTGAAATCCATTTCTGCCTAGCAAAAGTTATATGGGGCCTTATTGTTAGTATAATGTAGCTCCACTGTAGTTCACCTGTATTAGTAACCTATGTGTTAATAATGAGCATGAGCACAATGTCAGCTCTTTTTTCCTTTTTCTAACAAAGAAAATCTTGCGTAAGCACTGTTGACAGAAGGAGCCTGACAGAGCAGATGTGTTGGTTGTTGTTGACCGTACAAGCAGAGACTCGGCAAACACAGTAGGGGTTTACTGTGGCATCACTTTCCCGAAAGCAATTTGTTCAAGGGCATTTTTGAAAGGAAAGAAGTCTCTGGTGAGAATTATTCCCCATTCCATAGAGGGTTCTTTCAACTTCAGCTGCACTTCTTCCAAACTTCAATTGAAGAAAATCCACCGTTCAGTCCGGTCTTCAGCTCCATTCACCTGGATGTGGCATCCTCACCACAGCCTGGGCTTGGCACTGTGACCCCAGCACCTGGGAAATTAAGGCAACTCTTCCCAGCATACTGTCAGCATGAGAAAGGGAGAATGACAAAACATCTAAGTTCTGCATTAAAGTTGCCCAGAACCTTCTTGGTTTTGTTATTACTCATCCTATGGATGTTCAGGCTTGTCAGTCACGTCAGTGCAGCCTTTTGTTTTTATGTAAAATCTATGCCTGGAAAGAGGCATAGTTTTATACCAGAAAAAAATATACATGTGAAGAGAAGGAATGATCATTTTGCCTCCAAATCTTGAATACTCACCCCAGTCCCTTCCTGACAAATATGAGGTGTTTATGTTTGAGCTCCATAAGACATTCCTCAGCCATTTCCCTGAGAGCAGATTTCTTACAGGGAACTGGGAAAAAAGGAAAATAAAACTCTTGTTGTCTGGACTATGCCTCATGGCTGAGGATTCAGGCCTTGGTTCCTCAGCACATTCATTCTTCCATTAGTCACCTTCTGAGTAAGTGTCAGAGCTGTGTTTTTCACTCTTATTTTTCAATCTATTTTCAGTGGTGTTCTTTGATTTAAGTGGATCTGTACAGAGGCAACAAAAGTTTTACAATACAGAGGAGAAATCAGGTATTGGGCATTCCCCAGGCTGCTGAAATACTCCATCTTCCTTTAGAAGAAGGAGAAATCTCAAAGACATTTATTAAGTTCCTTCCAAAGTGCAGCAGGAGCCAAACCAGAAAATTACAAGATTATCGGCAGTGCTTGGGCATGTACATCCCGGTACTTCTGTTTCTCCTATATCCTCCTCCTCCATATTCCGGTGTCTGTGCTCTCCTTTTTTTTTTTGCATCAGTATGATGTGCCTCCCTTTGAGTTCCTAATATTTTATTCAGTTGTCTGTCTACTCTCTTCTTGTTTCCAGATTATCGCAGTAGTCATGGATGTATTTACAGACCGGGACATCTTCCGCGATATTGTTGATGCAGCATATAAGCGCTGGATCCCAGTCTATATAATCCTAGATGAGGAGGGTGTGAAGCTTTTCCTGGAAATGTGCAGATGCCTTGACCTCAGTGACTTACAGATCCGGGTAAGATATTCAATACTGAATCATCAGCTCCTGCAGGTCAGGAGTAATGAAGCTTGGAATTCACTCAAACAGGCAAACACACGTCTTCCTGCAAGTCACATCACAGCACTTAGACAGGGGTTGATGGAACATGGAGGTATAAGACAGTGGCTTGCTAATACAGAAAGAAAGAGAAAGGAAAGATTTGGATTTTTTGAATTTCACCTGAGACCTTGTGACCTAAAAATTCCTGTTTGGGAAGAAAATTTTCTGAGTAAATTCCTGTTTGCAAGGATTCAAACTAAAGTCCGGTGTAGCACTATGAGTTGTTGTCTGCATGGATCACAGTTATAGGACAAATACACTCTGTGAAAGCAAGACTTTCCTATCCAGCAGCGATCAGCTGGAAGTGAATGAGCTTGCAGTCCTCCTTTGCCTGAGAACTTAAGGGATTGAGGAGCATAGCTGCTCCTCAGTTCCATAACAGAGTATGCCTTCATATAGTGCATGCAGCACAACTGAATCGTCAGCCTAGCTTGGCTGGCAGAAGCAGCCTCAGTAGAATCTCATTCCATTACATACTGACTGAAATCCTTTGTGTGTTTATAGTTAGTGGTGTATTCCTTGCCTTTTTCATGTTTTTTAGTCACTGTCACTACTACAGACTTGTTCTGAATACTGACAAAGTTGCTAGGTTGGAAACAACCTATGGGATGCCAGACTCTCCCCTCTTGTGATCCAGCTGTTCTGAGCAGTGGGGGTGGGGGGAGGAATAAAGCCTTTTTGCCTGAAGGAAAAACTTTGCCCGAGTCTTCCATAAACACTCAATTAATAGTTAAAAAACAAATCCACAACCAAAACTCAAAAAGCTCCAAAGATTATACAGGCTCATATTGGTTAACAGTTGGACTTGATGATCTTTAAGGTCTTTTCCAACCTAAACTATTCTATTATTCTCTGATATTAACCATTTTAGGAGAATCATCTTAGTTCTGGATGAAAATTACTTGCATATATCTGAACAGTGCTCCTGTGAACTGTCACTCTGCTCTGAGTTTCTGGACTTCATCAAAAAAGACATCCAGCCAAGCAGCTTTCTCATCTTTCTCCAAAACAGAGATAGAAGTTTCTTTCCTCTGTTGTCTTTGAAAGCAAGACAGACCTTTTTCAAGTTTCAGGGGTATTCTGTGGCTTAGGCTTGAATCTCTTTGGTAAAAAACTGTGAAATCACAGCAGTAGTTCCATTTGCTCTGGTACCCATTTCCCAGTATTTTTCTCACCATGTCCATCATGTGTAGGAATGATGCCTTCAGTACAGCATATTTTAAGTCCTGGATAGAGTGAATGAAAAGATGCCCTGGCATTTTGTCTGCTTTCTCCGTTTTTAAACAGGAAGTGGCACCCTTCTGCTTTTCCTCTACCACTTTCTCCATAGGTATCTACCCAGACTTTACCCTCCAAAACCAATTATCCAGTGACATGCCAAAGCATTGACTAGGTCCTATAGCAGCCTGCTTGTGTTACGCTTTCCAAAGAGGTAGAGTTCAAACTGATGTCTTCAATAGCAGGAGAAAACTCTTCTGTGTCCCTTCTGTGCTTTCCTTCTCTCACTGCGGCCCTTGCTATGTTTTTGATTGGACTCCTGCTAAGTTGACCTGAAGGATATCCATTGCAAAGGACTTTTTAACATTCTTTTTTTGACCTAGTTATTCACACTTCTGCAGAGCTACAACCCACAGAGTGCTGTCCTTCAACTTTTTGCCCTTCTTCCCAGCTATCTCAGGCTGTATCTTAAATTGCCCTTAAGGTAGTTGTATTTCTTTTCCAGTGTGGATAAGGCTTTAGCTATTCTTGCTAAGGTCAGTGCAGTTTATTCCTGTTTATAGTACTATGAAAAGTCTGGGAAGAGTCTTCCTGTAAGGGGAAACAAGTCATTTGCCTCTCAGGGAAGATGGCTTCTTAGTATCCTGCCCAAGGCTGCCTTGGATGTATTTATGCTGCTGCTTGGGTCAGTATGGCAGAAGTCATCATACAGTGGTTGCCCTGAATCACCAGGGTTTAGATACCCAGGGAATCTCAAGCAAGGTTAAGGCTTCCCCTTCATGACTTCCCCCACCTCCACCTCATTGATGGAATGCATTGAGGGTCATTTTGATCTTTTGGTGTTGAAGACCCAGATTTTAAAAGCCAGCAAGTTGGGCCTCTGGGCTTGCTCAGGCAGAATCTTGTCCCACACTGATCACAGATGATGCTGGAATTGCTGAGGAAGAATGAGAAACTCTAGTGCAGTTAACTCTATCATTCACCCATTCCTTATTTATGACTTTCTTTCTTCTGATATCTGCTTTGATGTCTGATTCTTTTTATTCTCCACAGATTTCAGCATCAGGGAAAACATTCTTTCCTTACACAGTCTTTTTGTGTAATCATTTTGCTTTCTTCTAAAAGATTTTCACCAGCAGGCCATTAGTATCCTTCCTGCCCTTCCCACCGTTCCTTTGGAGTACTTGGACAATACAAGCTTTTTCCTCAGAAAGTTGCAGCAATATGGGATGTAACTTTAAAGTTTAGAGGCAGGGAAAAGGATCCCAGGGAAAGAGGAAGAGAGATGACATGCTACCATGGGCTGTCACTGCTGCAGGGCGAGGATGCTTATTCTGTCTTCTGTCACCACCAGATGCTCAGATCATTCACTGATTTCCCACCCTTTTGTTTCCATTGCTGTGTTCATCCAGCACAGAGTGAATACTTCAATGGTCCTAATACAGGGAGATTTACTGTTAACGCTGGATTTTGCCCCTTTGTCTATATACAGTGCTGGGCATTTTCACAAAATTCCTGGCTAGCGTATCATTTTGGGATGGGAAAGTATCATGATCTGCTGTAGGAAGACAGTACCTCACAAAACAAAAGACAAAAAGTTCTTTACTGACTCCAAGCATGAAATGAGAAAACCTCAATGATTGTCTGAAGGCCAGAGATCACTAAACAAACACTGAAATTCAACCACTGGCCCGTTTATGCTGATGCTGGGCTGTTAGTAAAAGCATGCCCTGTGTGTATAAGTCATGTGGCTTCCTGAGCCTACAGGACATGGTTTGCCAGACCTTTGTTATGTTTGTTAGGCCCAGGTCGGTCCAGGGATAACAAAGTGTCAGTCACAACAAGAGTGTTCTTCGGAGATCATGATGGATCGAAGTACTCAACTACAAAATTCATAGTCCCACACAAATTCTCTTCTAGTTGATCTGAGGGTGGCTGTTCTCACCATCTTTCAGACAAGTTCTGTTTTTCTTGATTAGCTTCTGCTAATCAAGACCACAGTAACAGACACTCCTGCTCAAAGACAAGGAGTTCACTTAGAGCTCCAAGCAAGCCCAGGGAATGAGTTACCTGCAGGAAGTTTCACCTTCATGTTAATTTTTACATTAATTTTCCCAACATGTAAGGAATTCTTACCCTCACTTCACTCTTAAAACTTCTCTTAAACTCTTAAAAGCTTCTGCCTAATTTTTGGAATTTCTTAATCAGTATTTGTATATATTAGGGCCACAAGGATGAGCAGGGGGCTGGAGCACCTCCTGTATGAAGACAAGCTGAGAAAGTTGGGGCTGTTCAGCCTGGAGAAGAGAAGCTGCATGGAGACCTCATAGCCTTTCAATATCTGAAGGGGTCCTACAGGGGTGCTGGAGAGAGACTCTTCATCAGGGACTGTAGTGACAGGAGAAGAGGCGATGGGTTTAAACTTAAACAGGGGAAGTTCAGGTTAGGTATAAGGAGGAAGTTCTTTACTGTGAGGGTGGTGAGGCACTGGAGTGGATTCCCCAAAGAAGTGGTAAATGCTCCATCTCTGGCAGTGTTCAAGGCCAGGCTGGACAGAGCCTTGGGCGACATGGTCTAGTGTGAGGCGCCCCTTCCCATGGCAGAGGTGTTGGAACTGGATGATCTTAGGGTCCTTTCCAACCCAAACCATTCTGTGATTCTATGATTCGAATACCTGCAAGTTTTACTGTTTTGTCAACAAGCATGCCTTTTCCAGAACTGTTTGTGGCAAACACGTAGGGTGGAGCAGTAGTACAAGAAAACAAAGGATAGGAGCTAACCCAAACGAATTCTATTGACTGAAGGGATCCGATTTTTCCAGGGACAGCAGAAAGGGGATCTCCACATTCAGTGTGGAATTGTGGAAAAATTGTGGAAAACCACAGTCAATGTAAGGGTCTGTTGAGTCACTGTCATCTATTGGCTACTGCTTTTGTCTGTTAGTTTAGAGGTCGCTCATGCCATCCATCCCAACTTGAAATAAAGATCATATATATCAGCAGTTGATCTAAAAGGAAGAGTACACACAGGATTCCCTTTTGGAAGTACTTAAAATGCTTCCTTTTAGGTTCTGCCTTGAGTAGCCTCCCAACCCACCCCCAGCTGTAAGCACTAATGCCCAGGTCTGTCTAGTGATAACAACAAAGTGTCAGTCACAACCCAACCTTTCTAAACTGCGTCTAATTTATCTCTCCATGGATTCAGGGTGAGCTTTAAAAGTGTGTCACAATAAAGCAAGAAAGACTGATTCCTTCACTCTTTGTATTAGGATGCTGTGTCAGGCTTGACTGTTACTAGTTCATATTAAGTTGCTGCCAGGGAGACGTTAGTCACTTCTTGTGATGAGTGGTGCAAGCCTGTGTAAAGTAAATGTGGACACTTAATGCAGGTTGCAGCTTCCATAAGCCAGGATATGAAATCTCAAGCAGGCTTCTGCAAGAATAACAGATCTGGAGGGGTCACTTCTATCTGGTGAACTCTCTGGTCATCCAACCAAAATATTTATTATGATTGTAACAGTAGTGTCCCCCCCGCACTCCCCAAAAGGGCTGCAGTATCACCTCATTTATATTTGTCTTTCCTCTTTTGTTGTTGTGTAGTCTGTAGTACATGAACCCGGGCTTGTTCCTCCTCTGTATGGCTTGATGTATCAACCTACAAATGCTCTGTGTTTCTTCAAGGCAGAAAACATTATACAAATAACCTAAGTGATCTGGTGTTTATATGACTTTGTGCTTGTTTTCTGCATTTCAAGATGTATTTATGCACTCCTGTGCCTGCTTTGTTCAAGGAGGCTTATGTATTCAGCTGTTTGGTTCTATCCCCTCTGTGTCTAAGTATTATATGTAGTTCAGTTACTGCAGAAATTCAGGTGTGCTTTATTCCCACCTAAAGATGATGTAACGTACAAACACAATAAAATCCACACTTGTTACATGCTCAGAAACTTTCTGCTCACACAGGCTGGTATTTCTTGATTCACAAAGGTACAGGACCCATGTGTTGACTGATTTGAAAAACAGAGTCCTTCTTGTCACTTGCAATCAATATTCCATGATTTGGTCAATCCAGCATTCAGCTTTACTCAGCAAGGAAAGTAATTATTTCAGGTGATCAGCCAGCCAGCTACAAATGTTATTCTAAATACTGGAAGGGGCACCCTTTCTCCCGTGCTGTAGCCAACCTGTATTCAGCATCCCACACATATGACTCACTGCTAGGCCTTGGGCAAATCACTTCATCTTTTTTCTCAGGCTCCTCATCTTTAAAACAGGGTAATAATACTTTCAGCAGTGTTGTGAGCATTAATTAGCTAATGCCCACACATGACTCCAGACAGATCAAGCAATAGATGACTGCAAAATAGTAGTATCATCAGTTACTGTTAGTCAGAATTTGTATTGCTGCTGCTGTATTTTAATGGGGCAAAGAGGAGCAGATTCAAAAGGTAAGAGTTATAGTTAGAAAAATGCTGTTTGAAAGAGATCTGCATTCTTACAATCACTCGTTCCTGCGCACTGATTTCTATAGCCTATCAATATTTAAGCTGTGAGGTTTATAATCATAGGACTTAGCTCTTTGTGGGATCCAAGGCTGTGCTAGCATTAGCCGAATCCTCATGATTCTCCTGCTCTGCAGATGGAGGAAGAATGAGGCAAAGGTGAATTGAGTTTCCTAGAGCATCACAGCAAATAGCATGAGAACTGTGATTACACTTGGGACTATCTGACTCCCAACCCTGGATTTATTACTCTGGATCACAATACCTCTTAGCTTTTCATTGTTAAAAGAATTCTTACAGAAACAGATGGTCAGATGAATAAAATGGTCCATATTTGTGTGTCAGAGTGACAAGATAATTTGCTCTAAACTTACACTGACAATGTTTTTGGGGGGAAGGGGTGTTGTTTCATGTTGGACATTTTGGCAGTTTAGCCACATGTAGCCAGGACCCATGAGCAGAATAACACTTGGCCCAATATGGGGAAATCTATTCTTATAGTAAGTGCAGGCACACATCTGTTGATGAAAGTTGTGTGACCTTAAATCTGCTTTTTCTCTGTGCCTGGTAGTGCTTTGTTTCATTACTTGTAGGTTTGCTGGCCAGAAGGTGTAAGACAGGAGGTTTGGGGAGAGGTACTTTTCTAACTACTTCCATGCACTTAATGAAAAGTTTTTCCTTCCTCCTCTTCAGAGATTTTTGCTGATCTATTCAGGACATTGGTAGATGTACCCCACTCCTATTGTTCAGAAAACGTTCTGTGTTTTTTCAGTCTCTGTTGAATAGTGAAGAATCTGGGTGGACACTCTGTTTGGGGTTCTTATAGCAAAATTGTAAAGGTCAGGGTTCTCCTTTTGTTGTATCAGACAGGAAACATTTATCTTTTAAGCAATGGAATCGTTTTCTCCTCTCTTCTATAATAATTAAGTTGTCCAGTCTTCTAATTTGCTCAGTTTTGTCAAGCCATGTGTTGATGGGAATCACAACACAAGCACAAAAAGAACTTAATCTACACCTGTCTCATACAGTACCCTCCAAGTAACCCTGTCCTTTGCACCTATGCACAGATGTTGCAAACTTCCTTGGTTTTGTAGTCGTGCTAATGTAACCTGGAGAAGAGCTCATGGGTGCTGTGGAATAGAGATCAGGATTCAGAGAGTGCTGACATGACTCAGAGCTCACTCTGAATCATTCCCCTGAACTGGGCTGGGCCTTCTGAGCTACAGCATAAGACTGGAGATGCAGGATTACTTGATTTTGAAAGCATTGTTTTGCCAGTGGGCTAAGATGAATAGCTGAAGACAGCAGGCAGGGTTACAAAGATGCTGACCCATTGGACAGGGCTATAAACTGATGGAGGGGAGTGACTTGCTTTGGCAGGGGATGACAACAGGTCTTACGGCACTATGCTTTTCTTTCTGCAACCCTTCTGATTTCTGGTGGATGATACTAAATGAGCTGTAGTCCCAGAAGTAGTGAGATAATGCGAGTGACATGTTAAGACTTGGAGCTGGCAATTATATCATTCTCTGCCCTATTTATTGTGACATTTGGTCTTTTCACCTCCCTGTTAGAATATCCGTATACGTTCTGTGACAGGAGTTGGGTTCTACATGCCAGCAGGGAAGATCAGAGGCACACTGGCATCCCGATTTCTGATGGTGGATGGTGAAAAGGTGGCCACTGGATCATACAGGTGGGTTGCTTTTGCATGAGGCAAAGCTATATTCTTTGTGTAAAGAATGGCCTGTGACTTTGCTTGGGAGTCTTCTTTTTGTATCATTCCCTTTCTTATTCCAGCCTCTGTAATCTGTGTGGTGTGTGTAGAAACTGGGGTGGGACAACAGAGAAGGTGACACAGAGCACAAGCTGCTCCTTAGAGAACAGAACATGCCCAAGCTAGTGGACCATTTCATGGACTAGAGATAGTTCCATACTGTGCTCAGTTCTCTTCAGTGAGGTTTCCATGCTGGGGGCTCCTTCTGTTGATGCAGTGTTGCTTTTTAAAAAGCGTAAACTGTCCTTCAGAGTTTTAGGGCCTTTTCTTCCAGATCTAGTCTGCATGCCTGATGAAGAGCAGTAATAAGCTTCATGTATCTATCCTGACCCATCTTGGCAAGGACATATGGGCAAATGGCATAATGCTGCATATTCCTATGTAGTATCTTAGGTATTGCTAGGTGGGCTGGGTCAAGAATACACCTAGAAATATAATGTTGGTTCTGTTTCCTGCTTTCAGCTTCACATGGAGTTCATCGCACATTGACAGAAACATCCTGCTAGTCTTGACAGGACAGCATGTGGAGATGTTTGACATAGAGTTTCGTGAGCTCTACGCCATCTCAGAGGAAGTTAATTTCTACAAGGAACTGGGTATTGCTAACCCATTCCTTCTTGGAATTGGGAAGCCAGGCCTTCGTTCCTCCACTGTGGCTCGGAAGTTCATTAACCCCAAGTATGGTTTAGTGGCAGGGGCAACCCGTGGTGATATGATGCTCTGGGCTTCACGACACAGGCAAGATAATCAGGGGAACATGGAAAAGGAGGAATCAAGTGAGTCAAAGAAGCGGTTAAATCAGTTTCTGAATGACTTAGTCACATTGGAGCAAGAGTTCCCAGAAATTGATCCACCACTGGAGAACTTGAACAAACTGAATCGGAGCCCTCAGAAACTGTTGTCCCGGCTCCACATGGACCTGAAAAATAAATCCAAATCCAGAGAGTCTATTCGTGATGTGAAGAAAGAAGATGCACAGGCCAATTCAAAGCAAGGAAAACGGTTTGCCAGTGGGCTTTTCAGTCGCAAGGCCAAACGGTCTCCAGGCTCAAGTATTGAGGCCAACTCTTTTGCCAGTGAAGGACATTCAGGAGAAGATCTTGGGAACATGAAACTGGAATATGAGCAGCTCAGCATTGGCCGTGCCAGTGTTCGGAGCACCGGAGGCATCTCAGGTACCAGCATATTCTGTCTCCGTGTCCCTTGTTCTGAGTCTGGCTGATTGGTGGTATTGTTTCCTCTACATTAAATTGCGTGGGATCAAAGAGAAGTAGAAGTTGCATCAAATGATACAGGCAATTTAAGTTGAAGGGAATTTAATGGCATTCTTACTGTAAAGTTGGTACTTCCCATGTAAATGTTTTCCCATACTTCTCAGCAAGCGGATATGGGACAAAGGGAGAGAAAGGTGAATGTTTCCTTATGTAAAACAGGTTGTGTATACAGTTCAGGAAGTGCACTGCCCTAATATCTTAGAATGGTTTGGATTGGAAGATCATCTAGTTCCAACCCCCCTGCCATGGGCAGAGATAGCTTCCACCAGAGCCAGTTGCTCAAAGCCCCATCCAGCCTGGCCTGTGTTTGCTATTGTCATGACTAGCAGGGTGCAGGCAGATTTTCAGTGTAACCCTTCCTTTCCTCATTTGTGTTTAGTTGGATGTGAATCCTGTGACAACTGGAGAAGAGAGGAAAACGTTTTTATGTTGAGGTGAGAGGGCAAGGAGTGGAGGAGAAGGTGAAAGTCTTTATTTTGCTCCTTTATCACCTTCTGGAATAAGGGAGAAGGTTTTGAAAATAGACACTATGGAGGATTAGTTAGATCTCAACTTTTCTTTCCTTGCTAATCATAGAACGCATGATTGATATTTTCACTACATCCTTCTAAGGCTTCATCTGGTTGAAGACATAAATGATAAAGATGTCTCCCAATTTATGGGTTCATAGCTAACTTCCCAAGGTTTTAGATGTTTTATGACAATGAAGTAAATCTATGGACTGTTCAGCCTGGTTGTCTTCCTCTCTCAATGAGCTGTGCTAGGTGTCCATACAGCCTGTGCCAGCAGGAAAATAAACTAGTTCCAGGGAGAAAATTTTTCCTTAACTCGTCTGGCCACAGACCATTCTGTGCTCTGATGAATGTGAAATGCAGGCGCAGAGAAACTGAATTCCCTTGAGACTGCCATGATGTGAAATGGAAAGACATTCTCCTGAGACCAAAACCAAAAGAAAGATATTGGGAAGGTCAACAGCAGCAATTGATTAGGTCCTTGGAAATATTTCTGGTGGAATGAAGCACAGACTCAAAAACACCAAACGAACACAAGAGAAAGGAGCTGTAAGAGAGCATGAATTGTGCATTTAAGATTATTTAGGATTTGTGTTTGGCTTTTTGGGAGGCAGAAGGAAACCCTGGTCTAAAGAAGTCCTCTCCCCAAATCACTTTACGGCTTGAGCACAGGCAGTGTGTGCTGCTGGGCCGCATTTCTCAGAGCCAGGAAAACAGTATCTGCGAAGACCTATAGGGAGGTGTATGGGCATTTCCTTTGGAAGGAATGGACCTGAGGGCTTGCACTACCCTCTAGTGACAGAAGTAGAGTATTGTGTAATCTCTGATTTGTCAGCACTTTACAGGATCAGAAATGCACCGAGTTTCTCACTGTCAGCTGTTTTAACGCAGACAGCCCACCATTTCTGCAACGTCGTGATAAAATTAGACTGAGATTAAGGCACGAAAGAGACTGATGTCTCTAGTGAGGTCCCTTGTGGGGCATTGCACACTCTGGGCAGCAGGGATGTCCCTATTCCTTTTAACACAGTGGATCTGGGCCAGACAGTGTGATGCTAGGTCTGGACCATCTCCACAAAGTCACTATCATGCTATGCTGTTCAGGTTCTATTTATTGCCACTTCCTGAAGGCTGACACGTCTTTAAGTAATGATGAGGGAAGAACTGAGATCAGGTTCAGGGAAGGTCCAGCACACCTGCCTTCCCACTGTGCTCTTCCTCACGTGGTAAGTCTTTCCAAGGAGTCCATGCAAGTATTTTCTTGGTTTATGCAAACTGAGAATGCCTGTTCATGGTGGCGGTGGGAGAGTCCAACTTTTGAAGCATGATGTAAGTAGCCTTAGGTCATCTGGTGTTGTAAAAGGCTGAAGGAAGATCACTACCTGGGTGTTACACTGTTTGTGAAAGTTTCTCTAAACTAATGGTCCCAAAGCGGCACGTGAGTAGAGATGGCAGAGGGCACATTAGGAAGAGGGAGGCTCATGAGAAAGAGTTAAAAAATGTGTTACCCAGAAGATCCTGCAGCTACTCAATCAGTAGCACATGCTTCATTAGGATTTAATAAAAAATTCTTGAACATGGGCATGAATAGAATTCCAGCTTCAAGATAAAAATAGGAGGCACTTTGTTCTTGTGTAACTGTAGGAGTGACTTAGTTTTAAAAGTGTAACTTTTCTTTGAGCAAGTCTAGTAAAAACTGGTGCTATCATAGTCTGGGTGACAGAAGGGAGGTAAGAAGTGAAATGAAGGAAGAGAAGGTGCTTGGTATGCAGTCAGGTTGGGATGCAATTATTCAGAACTTCACAGTTTGAAATAGCTGCCCTTACCTTTTGTAAAGATTAAACAGCACACTTAAGCCCTGTGGGCCTGCCTGTGCACACATCCTCCAAAGTCACTATTAATTCTCTAGTACCACAGAGACACATCCCACCTCACAAATGCATAGAGACTAGATCCACACCCCAAGCAGTTTGCAGAGTAATTGAAACACATTATTCAAGTAGGCTAAAAGTCGGGTTCAGCCTTGTAAGAGCAAATGGTGATGAAGAGAATCTGAACTGGGAAGTGATGAAAGTGTGTTCTGTGACAGTCTGAAAATCTGCCTCGGTATCTGCATGCTAGAAAAGGACACCTACAAGTCAAAATTGGGAGTCTGGAAAATACAAGAGCTACAGATAGTAATGTCACAGAATAAGTGTCCAAATGAACATCCTGAGGTGGTGTTCTAGCACACTTCACAGACTGTGCTTTGTTTCACAAGGTTTTCTTAAACCACATCATCAAATTGACACAACTCTTGAATTTCACTGCTTAGGAATTGCCTGCTTAGGAACACAACAGCAGCTCTGAACCTGACCAGAATCTTGTTAATTTTAAGCTGCTGCTGGGCAGACTCTGATCAGTAAAGACACTGACATCTGTGTGCAGTTTCAGGGGAGGACTGCAAAGGTTTGAAAGCTGCCTTCCTTTAGAAGGCACTGGCTTTCTGTCTTGTTTTCTCCCCTGCAGTAAGCAAATTGGGCTCATTCAGAAGGGTCTGCTATCCCGAGTTGCTTCATACATTGGCCTTTGCTCCTCATGAGCACTGGCTGCAGAACATACATACTTAATAGCAGGATTTTGTGTTTCGTTTTCAGGTGCTTCTTGCAACAAGGAATAGGATTTACTCTGGGCACAGAAATACTGCAGAAATAGCTGCTTAGTTATCAGTGGTGTTTTTCATCCAAAGTGGGATCACGGACGGCTGGTAATTGGAATCTTCAGCCTCTTTTCTATAGAGGAAGAGGAGAATGTTGCTGGGTGCATACAAGGAGTGTGTTTGCTCTGACTGTAGCGGGATCTGTAGAAAAAGGTCAGAAGACAAGTATACAGTGAGAAGAATAAAGGAGTTGGGAGTAGAGATTAAGCAGAGAGGAGCACAGACACTTTTGAAAGTAAACATGAGGGTCTTGACTGTGATACAGACAGGGAAAGGAACAGGGGTGGTGACGAAATAGGAGTAATGATAAACTTAGTAGTGACATACAGGGTGGGTCAAAGTGGGGACAGGAGGTAGAACAAAATGCCATGGGGAGATGTGGGGAGGAGGCAGTAGCATGCAAAGCAGCCACAAAAGTGAGGGCAGGTTGTGGAGCAGCCTCCCCTGTGGATATTAACAAGTTGTAGTGTGGAAGAAGGTGGAAAGAAGGAGGGGGAGAGGAGAAAGCTATTATCTTCCCCATCTCCTATGGATGAGGGAAACATTGATCCAATACCCACAAGCGAGTGACAAGAAAAATGATTCACTTGAAGCCCAGTTCAGAGGCAGTGTGTGGGTTGAAAGCTCCCTTACCTTGGCATGGTTGAGACTTCTTAGTAGCATGTCACCATGACTTGTGGCAGTTTTCCCTCCCAGTTCTCACTACATAATGGCCACTGGCTCCAACTACTTGGGAGATGTACACATACCTTCCTTCTGTACAAATACATGAGTGGGGTCTGTCCTTGTTCAGAGTGACTGCAAGCCACACAGCAGCCTCTCTCAGTACGTACTGCCCTGGGCTATAGGTAAGCCCAGGGCAGTATATGTATAGTAAATGTATAGTATATGTAAGCCTTGCTGAGCTTAGAGCACAGATGAGCTCCTTTACTTGCAAAAGCCTCTGCAAACACACTATTGCAGTGCTTGAAGAAACTATGCTGGGGCATCCAGACCAACAACTGGCTGTAACGAAGGAGATGCAGGCACTGAAAAGTACTGGGAGCATGGAGAAGGAATCCATAGAGTGAGCAATGAAAAAAAACTATTATGAGAAAAAATGGGGGCAGCGTACTTCTGCTACTAAAGTGAGAGACCCTGGGGCCCTGGGATTTGTCCTGCAAAGGAAATGGTAGAAATACTGGTACATGAGATGTTTAACACAGAACATGAAAAGACTTCTACTGAGAATGTGTGTGGGGATCAAATGGATGAGGTGACCTGACTTTTTTTTTCATACCTCCCCCTTTGGAAAACCTCCCACCCAAGTCATGGCCAGACTGTTTTTCAGTGCCAACTGGGACGTGAGAATATCACTGAAGCTGGCCTGAGTACAGGCCAAAGCCTGGAAATGCTTCTCCAGTGGTTTTCTCCATAGCATACTTTGAATTTGCTCTTACTTTAATGTCTCTTCATTTCACAGTAGTAGGAAATACTAAGTCTAACACAAGGTGTAGAGTAAACAACATGAGAGTTTTGAAGCATGAGCCCAGATTTTATCCAGACCTTATTTACTTAACATTAACATTACTTCTTTTCATTCCAGGTAACATGGGTCCAAACTCCACTATGAGCGATAAAAACAAACAATCTACCTGTGTGTTATCTTGATTGGGAAGGGTTGTCTGGAGAACTGAAGACTGAACAAGCTGGAACAGTAACCTCTTGATTGCTTTTGAACCTACAGCCATATACTTATGCAGTGGTCTGTAAAGCCACTGCGTGGTCCTGGGTGCACCTGGCACCCCCCAGTTAAAGCACATTTACTGGGTGAAGCATAGACTTTGGATGGTTGGTCCCTAAAATGAGAGTGATGAATGTATTAGTCCATATGTCTGTGTGCACACATATTTTATATATAAAAGCAACTGTGATGACTGGTCTCAGAGCCTGCTCTGTGTCCAGATAAATGCAGATTTTCTGACTTAGTTGTGCTGCTACTTCAGTCTGTCTAGCTACAGACTCAGAGTGACTATGTTGCATTGTTTACTGCACTGCAAAAATGTATTGGTCTGACTGCCTGGAAGGCTAAATCCGATCGAAGTGGCAAATTCTGGGTGAAATAAGAATGTTTACAGACAGCGTAGTAATCCTTTGTCCACAAGGAGTCTTCCTGTAGATTCTCGTTGTCACCTACCCACACAGAAATGAGTGGTCTGGGAGAAGGGTTTAGTGGAGTCCAACAGATTAGTATCTTAACTGTATATAGCAGTCAAACAAAGTGATTTAGCAAGAATGTAGTTAAGAATAAAAATGGATGTTTAACCTGCAGCTGAGACTGGGTCAAGAGAAATGCCTTAAAAGGGAGACTGGGCAGGATCTGGGAGCAATAATGGAGCTTTGAGTGGCTGTTACAAAATCCTGTTTGTTGCTAATTCAGCAACACTTTACCATTCATGGAAACTGAATGATTAAGGAGCAGGTCTTTGAGGATTGAAAGAGGAAGCACAGGAGGCATACAAGCTTTTCAAATGTTTCTTTTTTCTTTTTTTTTCTTTTTTTAAGTTAACCTTTCCAAACTCTAAATCATGCCAAAATCAAGAGCTTGAATCCATGAGAAGCACTGCATGCTGTCAGACAAAAGTCCATCTAATCTGCTATCCTGTCTCTCGGAATAGCCAGTAACAGGTGATCACAGAAGCATAAAATAGAAAGCTTGGATACAGAGATCTTTCTATGACACTGTTCCAGCAGTCCATGGACTTTCTGAACTGGCAGTTCCTTCTGGACCTGGCCTTAATGAATGTACTTAGTCCCTTTTTAAATAATCCTTTTCTACTTTTGGCCTTTGCCTGTTCTGTGGCAGTGAACCCTGAGTTTATTGCATAGTATGAAAAAGAACTGTCGTCAGGCTGTTTTAATGGTTTTCCTTGTCTCCTTGCCATTTGTGATTTTACAGAACTCTGTCATATGTCCTCAGTCATCACTTTTTCCAACTTGCAGGTTCACGGTATACATAGCTATTATATGGGACCTGATTGACACCTCTGTTCTCGTTTCCTGGCCCTTTTCCAGTTCTAACCACTAATAGAGTGTAGAAGTGGGTTGTTTGTGTTTCTTCAGTGTGTGGATTGATGTTTCACTCTGCTTTCTCACAATCTGAATTACATACTCTGCTGTTGTATTTAAGCCCTCTTTTGATACCCAAGAAAAATAAATCCAATTAGGATTTATTTATTTAGGTGCAAGTAGACACCTGAAAACTAACATACCTGCTTGCCAAAAAAAAAAAAAACAACTATCCAGACATCAGAAAAACACAGGTTTAGTTTTCTTTTTGTTTAGAGAAAAGCATCCGTGTTCTTCACTGCACACGGAATTCACAGCAAAGGCAACTGCTACACTCCCAACACAGAGCAAGCTGTTCCAAAGACTCTTTGAGGTGCTGTGTTGCAGTAGTGGTTGTTACACTGAAACAGCTGTCTGTAATTGATGATAAAATTTGATTGATTGATTGATTGATTGATTAGCTGCCTTTCCTGGAAGTATATTTAACTTGAATGGCAAGCAGGTCTGTTTTGCTCTGAGTTTACTCTGTGGAATGTCTTGAGAATCTCAAACACCAAAGGTATTGTGCCCTCTCTTAAACATACTCATCCCCTATCAGTGGGTTAAATGCTTGCTCTGCCATAGCTTTCTGGGAACAAGTTGTAGATTTACAGCTGGGTCTGTCAGCTCCTATTATCAGCAGCGTTTTATAAAATTGTTCCTGCTAATAAGAGAAAAGAGGTGTTGGAAATGACACCATCACTTGGATTGTAGAAGTAATTTAATACATGACTTAGCCTGTTGGCTTCAGGTTTGTGGCTCATGTGCCAAAAGCCATTTGCTGTATGCTTGTAGGACTGTCTAAAATGGCTTCATTTTGCCATAATTCCGTTATTCTCCAGATGTGTGGGAGATTTTATTTAATTTTTCTTTTCTCTCCCTGTATTTATTTCACTTTGTTAGCAGAGATCAGAGAGACATTTATCTGGCCAACACTGTTCCATGGTTTTTTGCTCTGATACAAACACTGTCATCTGGTGCTGCCTTGTTCTCCCAGACTTTAAATGTATTTATTTATTTTTTAAATTGTGCAATAAGTTAATTAACTAATTAGCACCATGTTGAGATATATGGGCAGGTTTTCCAGGAAGTCCTCTATCTCTTTGTTTTTATGTCTTTGTTGCTTCATCTGGGGTGGAGTGACTTCAGAAGTAGTCCAGGAAGCTGATTACACTTGCCCTTCCTTTCCTCTGTGCTTATTTATTAACGTGCTTTACTTTCTCTTTCCTATGATGGATATGAGGACACTTTTCTTTAACCTTGTCAACTAACAGGATCTCCTTTCCAGAAAGATTCTCTCATCTGGTTTGAGTCGCTGTTTCATTTGTCTCATGAGTCTCTCTGTCTTTGGCTTCGTTTCCACACCAGTTCTTGAAAGGTAGCATTCACCTGTTGTTTTTACATTCCTTCTCCTGTCACAGCAGTCAGTCTCATGCCTTGACTCCGGGGGCTAGTAGAATTCCTTAGGCTTATCACGCACTACTTAATTAGTTAATTTGAGAGAGCAGGCTTGCCTTCTTGCATGATATGAATCTGCTCCTTAAACTCAGCGTGACTCTTTGGGGATGCATGCAGCCTTGCCGATCCAGAGTGGATATTTCAGACACTGGTGGAACTTGTTCTTCCCTGAAGATAAGATCAGCTGAACTTGGACTATTTGGCTGCTCCTATGGCAACAGATCAGAGTCTGGGTGAGATGACCGCATTTATTTGGACTAGTCTTGCTAATTGTGGTTCTTGATGAGAGCTAGAAACCTGAGGCTGTGACCTGTAAAATGAATCTCTATCGCTCCTCAGATAAAGTGTGGTTGATGGTGCTGGGGGGCAGAGGGACAAGGAGTAGTGGTTATGAACTCTGTTGGAAGCCTTCTAGTAGAGGCTGAAGTACAGCAGTCTTCAAAGGAGTTGTCATTTGGTCCTTGCCCAAGACACCACCTCTTGCAACCAAGTCACTATCCTCCCAGCGGGGTGGGAAAGAGGGGAGACATTTGTTGTTCCATTGCCATTTTAAGGAATAAGAATAGCTCTCCTTGGCATCTGTGTCCTGATCCTGGACAATCCCAAGAAGACGCTGGTTCTCCCGATCTCCTTTACTCTGGCTTGTGAGCCCAGGTTTGCTGATCTGGCTGACATACCATGGGGCCTACACTTGCCTGGCTGAAAAACCATGGGTCCTGGTTTTGGACAGAGAGTAGTGAAGCTGTGGTTTGCAGCTCTTTCTTTCCGGCATGAAATGGTGAGTGGTTCTGAATGAGCCTCTTGGCTGAATGTATGCCTTCTGGCTTTCTTTGGTATGCATTTGTATATTTAATGTGTATGTGTCCAATGAGTTACACTGGAGACCTTTTTAAGTCAAACAAATAAACTGTATGTTACATTGAGATAGTTGGTTTATTGATGTTGCATTTAATTCCTCAGCTACAGTTGCTGCATTTGGGGTTTCTTTCTTGTCTATTTGTCAAGAACCTTGACTGTCTGAATTAGAGCAGGTTTCAGTGTAACACATGAACATCTCTGGTCAATGTTTGGCCGTGCTTGTTAAAAGATGTGTGGGCAGCTAAATTCCCCACAAGTGCAGCGTCCTGTGGCTTTGAGTACCTTGAAGAGAGACTAATTCATTCCTGCCCTCTAGTTGCTGGAGTAGGCTGTAGCAGATGTCCACTTCAGTTTTAATTCATTTTCTACTACCACTCTTTCCGACTGAACTGTATCTTGCTGCAGCTATAAATGCATCTGACAAAGTGCCACCTCTGTTTCCCTTTCCATTTTTCTTACATAATTTGTACCTATCAGCACTGACATTTCATTTATGAAACTGAGTCCCTCTGCTACATTTCGGTTTCACCTGGTACCGTGTAATCCTTGACATTTAAGTAACTCCCAAGCGCTTGTTTCCCCTGCTCCCTTTGTTTGTGTATACAAAAGCCTATTTTAAAATTCCTCACCATGTCTCAGAGTAAATCCAGCCTCAATTTTACCATTGGGCGTTAAGGTACATGAAAAAGCACTTGCAGTAAACAAAACCTTTGCCTTTCTTTCAGTGTTTAAAACCACATAGCAATTGCATTTGTACTGTTTGTTTAAGAGGAGTCTGTCTAATCCTAGCTCTTTTCACAGGGTAGGTCAGTGCTCTGTGGATCCTGAATCTCTTTTGTTATACTATTAGCACCACCGTCACTTTGTACCTCCTCTTTTTCTGCACTTGTTTTAGGGAGGCTCTCCAAGAAAGTAATATAAACTTGTCCTTCCCCTTGCTTCACTGCAACTTCAATACCACATTTTTCTCTGTTTTTTTGACACTTCTGTCTGTGCTTTTGCAAAATTAGGGAGCAGTCCAGGAATTAATGACCTCTTTGTGTCGCTACACCCTATGTCCCCTGTCCTTGGCCTGCTGAAGAAATGCAAATTCGGGAATCCTCATTAATAAGCAAGGCTTAGGAAAAGCACAGTTAGTTGGCTGTAGGAACCATCTTTGAAGAGCAGCAAGGCTGGCAGATGTTTACCTAACTCTTTGCACAACACCTATTTCTGATCTTTCCTGCAAGTCTGGGCACGTGTACTGGGGAGTTAGGGTATGGAAAACCCCAGCATAATGTACAGCACCTCAGCATCCCAATGTGGGCAAACTTGCCATGTTTTTCAGCAAGACAGTGAAGGAGGGGACAGCAGCTGAGAAGCGCCTGCACAAGAAGTTAAGGGCAGAGTAGCTGGTGTATCCTAAGTTGGTAACATAATGTGTCCATGTCTCAAGTTTTGAAGATGTTTCTAATACCACTTCTCTCTCCCTTTCCAGCCTGTCTGCCTGCAGTATCAACTTCTGCCTTTTCATCTGACTTGTTAGGGGTTGCTTTCTTTTTCTGAAACATTAAGATATGTCACTTATAGGAGAAGTGCAGGCATAAAACAGCTCTGCTGCTTGTCTCAGGTAGAAAGCAGCAGCTTCTAGATGATGGGGAGTGCTGAAAGCCGTGATTTCATAGACACTGGATGTGTGAAATTGCACATAACCAGGAAAACACAACCACAAGAATTCGTGCAGAAAGCATAGAGGCAAACTACAGCATGTGAATAATGAGGACTGTAGCTACTATAGAAGGACTGAAAACTAGAACATAAAAATGAGAGCTCACTAATGCATATACATAGAGCAGCATAGGGAAGGATCTGGTAGGTCAGGTTAAGGATACTTCCCATTTGTAAGTACTGACTGTATTCAGAGGGTCCTTTGCCTTTTTAACTTAAACTTTACTTAAGTTAACTTTAACTTAAAGCAAAAATGCTTCTGAGGAGCAAATTTCCAATGTGCAAGAAAAGTATGTTTCCCCAGTGGGCTGTGGCCTGATCAGCATTTTGCATGGGCTTGGGGGTGGATTTGGCACATTCCTGCTGTGGGCTCAGTGAACACCCATGTTTCTTCAGCAATGTGATTTACTGAACTCGAGTGG